TAACAAGGAAGGACCTGTATGAAGCTCAGTATCAGGCTGCTCCTCGCCCTGATGAAGTGGACTGCAAGGCCCACGAAACGTGGCACATCAAGAATGAACCAAGACATGGAGAAAACCCGCGAAGCACAGATTAGTAATATAATATTATTATATATAATTTTTAAATATGAAAAAATATAATTTTAGATTTTAATTATCTATTTCTCAACCAATGTAATTATTAATTAGCAACATTGCAGATCGAATATCGAGTCATGCATATAATAGATAATGAATAAAAAAAACCGATCCTTGGATAATGGATTATTACAAGTTGTACTAAATGTTCATATATTATTTCTCTGATGTATCTTTTCAAAACATTCACGTAATAGTTAAAAGGAAACATGTAATTTCAAATATATTTGAATTATAAATGATTCTATATCCATTGAGTAAATTAACGTTATTTGCTCAGTAAATTTTTTCTTATCCTTACATAAGTGAGGCTATATTTTGTAACTAATGGATTGAATTGTGTTTGAGATCGGTAATTCGGAAAAAAAGTAAGAACTTTTTCGATCGACCGACAGTAATTGTTATTGAACGCACGCATAAGGTGAGCTCGTGATTTCATCTCGAGCCTGACCTTAATCCTCGTCAAAGTCAGGGATTCGTCTTCTTTGGTCTTTTTAAAACAATTCGGTACACGCAAACAGGCACCGGCAACGGACAATCGAAAGTTCTAGAACAATTCAATTCGCGCACGCGAGCGCCGCGCTCCGACGAATACGTCATGCGCTGTCATCAATCCCACGTACGGATTTTCTGTCGCGCATGACTGTTACGTTGAACGTCGTTAGAAAAGAATCCAAAGCGCCAATCAATTTTGTACAACTAATGCCACGTAATAATTACAATTGTGGCAAAATTTTATTGGATTTTTCTCAAGAAGAAAGTCCAGGCCGAAAGCAATAAATGCTTCGATCTCGCCGTTTCTCCTTCTTAGAGTTCTTAGAGTCATAGTCTCGCTACTATATCGTTTCATAAAACCGCCGTGCTAATCGCTTAGTGAAAACCGCTATAAGACAGATCTTTTCGAGAAGTGCCGAGAAAATCGCCGAGATTTTCCATCATCGCGATTCCAAATCAACAATTTGGAAAAGGTGACCGCATTTAATATTCTGTTAATCTAATATTTAATTAATTATATTTTCTGAACTGTGCATATTAAAGAAAATTCTTTTGAAAGCGGTCGAATGAAAACGAG